GGCAAAATGCTGGGTATGTGTGTATGTACCTGGGATCCCGACAGGCTGGAGAATTGAGGAGGGGGAATCTCAGAGAGACAACATCTTGTCAAATGTGCTTCTCTCTGTCTCTCTGTTTTTCTCATGTGTGTCCACATGCTAATATGAATTAAAAAAATAAGAAAAATGGGCTGAGCACCTAACTAGATATTTCACCAAAGAAGATACACAGATGGAAAAAAAAATAAGGATTTGAAAGATATTCCACATCATACATTATCAGTAATTTATGATAACATTACAGTCTGGCAGTTCCAATGTTCAGTTCTCCAATTTTAATTGAGACCAAATAATTTTATGGGAAGAGAAGGTACAATGTTCGGGAAACTTTCATGAGTTGCTTTAATATCATTACATCACATCACAATTACACATCCTCACACAATTATTTTGTGGTTCATCCAGCTTTTCTTGGGGAAAGACCATTTAGGGACTAACCTATGACTAAGAAAGTATCTGACCATGAGTAATTCTCCAGGCTAGCTTAGAAAACATTTCAGTTGCTGAGGAAGTTGGGAGCATTTTAGTCTAGTTTTAGCTTGGTATAAAAACTAATAAACCAATAAATTAAAATACAGAAAGGGTTGTCAGGCATGGCGGTGTGTGAATGTAATCCCAGTTAGTTGGGAATCTGAGGCAGGAGAATTGAGAGTTTGAGGCCAGCCTGGACTACATAGCAAGATCCAGTTTGAAAAACAAAAACAAACACAAACACAAAGCTATACAATCTGGAAATGGCTTAACAGATTACCTACTTTTATTATTTTATTTAACAAATGAGGAAACTGAGAATCATGGTTGTTAAGAAATGTAAACAGGGGCAAAACAAGACAACCACTGTCTTCTCCAGGGAAACTTTTGTAATTGTTAATACGGTATACTTAGAAGAAGCTATTTACTTTAATTTTATTATTATTTTTTTAATTGTGAGAGGGCATGTGCACTAACGAGAGAGAGAGAGAAGGAGAAAGAGAAAGAGAGCACCCCCCAGTAGGCATGGGCACATAGTAATCCATTTCCCTGGGACATGCACATACACAGGACCAGTACTTGACCCATAGTTGGCCATATGGGATCTGGCTCCAAATGCACAATGCTTTAACCACTCTGCTATGGGGCTAACCTGGGGGACTTATTTCAAATAAAAAGAAATTAAGGGAAAATCACTTTATCAAATTCACTTTCCTTATGTGTTAGGGATTATAATTTGGGTTTCACAGGATTGTCTTGAGGAACAAATGCAATGATGCTTGTAAAAGCTCTTTGTATAAATGATAAAACAGCTCAAAATATAACAGGTTATATTTTAGAGTAAATCTTTAGCTACTTTTTTTTTTTTCTTTTTTTGACAGAAGGCATGTGTGCATGCATGACAAAGGAGAAAGAGAGAAAATTCCCCAGTGGAGTCTGGTTGTGCCTCGATCCTTTTTTCCTCTATTTCTCTATTGCATCAGGATCCTAGGCACATGCACACATATGCCCAGCATGTTTCCTGAGCTGTGGGACTGGGACTTGAGCCTTGGTCAACCATGTGAGAGGATGGAGTGGGTGAAGTTCTCTCTAGTTCATTAAAAATACTCCCTTAGATAAATAAGTTTGATTTTAGTGTTCTATTGGTAATTCATCACCACACATAGATTAGTATTCCAACAATTTCTTGTTTTACCCTTCATCTACCCCTAATCAGGAAATCGGTATGAACCAAATTGAATAATGGGGAAACAGTGAAGGTTGAGAACAGAATGGGATAGAAGATGCATACAAAAGTGCACCATTGAGGGCTGGCCATAGTGACCAGTTTTTTTATAGTTTTTTTATTTAGTGTATTTTTTCATATATTCACAGACACACACCACACATACACAGAAGTCTATTCACATATATATTATGTAGTTTTTATCACATACCAAGGACTAGACAGTACAAAAATTAACTCATTTATTTATCAGAATAACCCTATGAGGTAGGTTTATAATTTCATTTTGCAGATAAAGAAGCTAAGTACAAACAGTTATGTCACACAATGATAAGAGGCAGAACTGTGATCGGAACCCTGGCAGTCTTTCCAGAACCGGCATCAACCATTGGTTATGATGCTTAGCCAATCTACAGAATTACCATAAGGACTGGTGGAACAAAAGAATTTGTTAATAGTAAAACCATGAAGGTTATACTACACCAACAAAATACAGAGATACACAGAAAATAAAAAGTGGCATACTATTTCTAAGATTTTACAGGCCTCTAGAAGTGCATTCATGGACACCAGATTTCAAAGAAGCCTGATTTTAACTTGGTTGGGCCTTCTAAATTACTATCTTCTCCAGCCAGAAATAAGACTGTGAAACTCACTGAAATTAGGCATTTTAAAGTAATATGAGAATTTTATTCTTTCTATAGAAAAAAAAAATAACCAAAATCTTATTCTATACTCTGAAACTCTGCTGAGCATATTGTTCAAATGGAACAATGGTTGAATTCTACTTTAAAGAAAATGAAGGTAATATAAATTTATAGAACAAATGAAAGACTACAAACAGCAGTACTACTATGTGAAAATCAAATAACACTCCATAAAAATGTTTATTTCATTTTCAGATTTAGAATATTAAAGATCCTCTTAGGAACAGAGGTTATAGAACATTGAGGAAAACTTAAAATTTATAAAGAAATTAATGACAAGTAAAATTTATTAGCAGAAAATGAGACTGCTTTTGAAAAGTTAGTTAACTTATTTATTTACTGACATGAACTACAAAGTGCTAGGGATTTTTTCCTACCTTCCTATCATACTTTTATGAAAGACTAGCTCCCTCTAGTGATGGCAATCATGATTGTCATCAAGAAACCAAGAGGCTTTTCTAGACTATGCACATAAAAACCTTTAGGATTGCATCTCAGAATATGCACTGGAAAGATCAATTTTTATTATAAAGAGGATAAAATTACAACCAAGTCATTTTTAACAGTCTTTTCCCGTTTAACACTATTTCAAAATACAGAAACATTGGGAGTGACCTTGGTGTCCTGAATGAACTTATCTCTGCTCACTGGGAAAGGCCAGCCCAGACAAATGAATAGACTCTTGTGCATCAATAGGAATTGATTTACATCTTTTAAAAATCCAATTAAGAAGCTTAGGATTTGGTGGCAAGATGGAAGTGTTTTAAACACTAATTTCCAACACAGACATTAATATCGTCATTTTAATCTGCATTTTTAACATCCAGCTGTTTTCTTTGACGTCATGGACTCCTCCTTGTAAGCCCTGGTATTTGGCTATGGTTGGCGTGATGTAGACCAGCAATTGATAATCTTCTCTGTAAATGACTAGACAATAAATACCTTAGGCTTTACAGGCCATACAGTGTTATAACTCGTCAACTCTCCCTTGATACTGTGAAAACATAGAGTATACATATGTAAATGAGTGGCTATGTTCTGTTTAAAAATAATTTTCAGGAAAAAGTAAGCCTGTAACTTTTATAAAGATATAAAACGTGTTAAGAATTTTTATTTGACTCATAGAATGGGTAAATGCTACAAATGATTCAAAGGGAAAGCAGTGAGCATTGAGTTAAATGGAGTAAAGGAACTGTACTGCAAATGGAAGCAAAAACCACAAAGAAATGGAAGTCCAACCAAACTGTGTTGGATAAGCAAGTTGATAGAAAATCAGTAAGAATATAGAAAAGTCAATTATATCAAATAACTCAACCTGACACTTATAAAACAGTCCACCCAAACAGAGCAGAATACAATTCTTTTTAGGTTCATGTGGAACATTTACCAATGTAGAACATACACTAAATCATAACACGATATTACAAAAATGTTTCAAAAATTAAAATTGTACAGAGCATGTTCTCTAACCATAATAAAATTAAATTAGAAATTAATAAAAATAACTTTAAACTCTTCAAATACACTTCTTAATAATGCACAGGAATTCACAAGGAAAATTAGAGGTTTTGGTGAAGAAAATTTCAAGTGATGGGAGTTATATAGGGGTTTACATTAGTT